GTACCCGGGCTGGAGGGCCAGGAGAGGGGGTTGTGCAGCCCCCGGGGCTGCTGGGGCAGTGCTGGGCTGTGTGGTCCCCTGGCCAGGAGCATGGTCTGATCTTCCCATGCTCTTCCTTCCCAGCACCAGCAGCAAGTCCTGCAGGCTGTGGAGCGGGCCAAGCAGGTGACCATGGGGGAGCTGAACAGCATCGTTGGGGTGAGTCCCGCTGCCTGGCCGTGCAGTGATGGGGGAAGCCAAGGTCTTTACTACTTCCGTAAGCCCAGGGCTGGTCCCCTGCGGTGAGAGGGTTTGCCATCGTGTCCCAAAGGTGGTGGATGGCCTCTGGGCTGCTCCCTGGCCCCTGCCACCCTGAGCAGAGCAGGGCAGAGCCACGGCTTGGGCTCATCTGCCCTGTGTTAGGATCACATCTGCAGCAGGGAGGTACTCGAGGTGCCCTGGCTGGAAGGGGCAGGCGATGCGACCTGGGCTGTGCAGCCCCAACAGCTCTGCTCCCCTCCTTGTCCTCGCGTCGTGCCTCATCCCATTGCGCTTTGCATCGCAGTTCATGCGGGAAGCTGCGGGGTGCTGGGCATGGCTGGCTGAGGCTGTCTCCTCCCGGATCGAGGACCATTTGCTCTTTCTCTTTCAGCAGCAGCAGCTTCAGCACCTCTCCCACCACGCATCCCCCATCCCGCTGACACCCCACCCCTCCAGCATGCAGCCTTCTAGCCTGAGCGGGGTCAGCAGCACCTCGGGGCTCCTGGCCCTCTCGGGGGCACTGATGGCACAGTCTCAGCTGGCTGCCAAGGAGGACGGAGCAGCCCACGATGGGGACAGAAGAGGTAAGAGGAAGACACAGGGCTGGCTGAGTCAGTGCCAGGCAGGCATCCCAGAGGTGCATGGGCAGCGCTGGGAGCGATTCTGCTGCTGCTCTGCCTGTTCCCAGGGCTCCTCCGTGCCTGGCAGCTGCTCCCTGGGGCCAGGGGGAGCGGCAAGGACTGCGAATGACAGATCCAGCTAATTAAATATCTGCAGCCCTGGGAGGCTGGCCCTATTTCTGACCAGGGGACCAGCTGCTGTGCAGTGACAGGGGAGGGGGTGGCTGCCTGTGCACCCCAGGCGCTGGGCAGCAGGGCTCTGGGCATGGATGTGCTTTAGCAGGAGGGTTGGACTAGATGATCTCCCGAGGTCCCTTCCAACCCTTGCCATTCCATGATTCTGTGTGTGTGCACACACGCATCTTCCTGCTCCCCTGGGTGTTTCCAGTGTGTGAGGACACACCCCCCCCCCCCACGAGCCAGCGGGGAGGGCGTGAGATCCCCGCCACAGAGAAACCCTCTGTTAACACCAAGGTTGACACCAGCTAAAGATCTGATGCCTGAAGCTGAGACTTTAAGGAAAAGCACTGCTGCAAGCCCCTGGCAGAAACTGGGGGAGCCACAGGTCTGTGGCAAGGAACTTGGGGAAGCAGAGCCTTGTTGTGTGTGTGGTGCCTTGTAAATAGCAGGAATTCCTCATCCATATGGGTGCCGCCTCCTATCAGGATTACAAAGTGCTTTACAAACATCATCAATATTTAATCACTGGGAAATCAGTGCTCTGAATGCTACTGGCAGGCCTGGGCCAAATTAACACCACCGCCCGGCTTCACGGTGCCGTTGCTGTTTGAAGCGCTGCAGGAAGGAGCAGCCGCTCCGAGCCCAAGTCGCCTTCTGCAGCGCGCAGGCGTGGGGTGGTTCTGCCGACAGGGAAACTGAGGCACGGACAGGGGGCTCTGGGCAGCGGGGCAGCTCTGTGGACTAGGAACAGGCAGCAAAATTCAGCAGCCGTAGTGATGCTCCTCTGCAGACTCCTCCAGGGAAGGTGCTGACTGCTCCCCATGTCCCCCATTTGGGGCCTGGAAAATGCTACTGGGACAGAATCCACAGGGATCCAGAGCAAAAGTGGGCAGTGGGGAGGTTGTTGCAGTCTCCTCATGTTCCGGTTTTGCTTGTAAGATTTTGAGGTGGTGAAAGCAGCCCCGGGAAATGCCGGCGCCTGCCTTGCACCCTGTACGCGGGTGCCTGCGGTGTTAACACTGCCGGTGTCTCCTTAAGGATGGCCTTTCCCAAGGGAGAAAAACAAACTCCTGGAAGAGGATAAAAGCAGGCTGTGCTTAACCCTCAGAGACCTGGGCAGCCCGTGCTTCCAGCGGCAGCTCCTGCCGTGCACAGCCCAGAGCCCTTGGCAGGGGCATCCAGCTGGGGCAGAGGGTGCACAGACACCCAGAATAATTCCTTTAAAAAAAGAAGTGAAATGCTACCTATAGCTTGGATTAATCCCTGGTGTTTTGCCATAGTTAGCCGGAGGTCGTGCGGGTTGAGCTGAGCCAGGGCTGAAGTGCTGATGGCAGGCACCCAGTCCTCTCCCCAGCTTCCATAGCCTGGGAGCAGCGCCCACATGGAGAGCCCCTCATCTCCTGAGACCCGCTGCCTCCTTTTGCCAGCAGAGACTGGGACGAGCTTGTTCTCTCCAAATGCTGATGCAATCATTAGGAGTGAAAATCAACCAGGGCTGCTAGACCCTGGCCCGTGCCCCATGCTTAGGTTTGTAGCAAATGCCTGGCACTTCTGGAGCCCAAGGAGGTGGAACTGTTCTGTTGTGCATGCAAGAAAGCCTCGGAGAGTTTCCAAGCAGGGCTTTTTAGCATGGCTTCCTAAGGAAATAGGATGGGTGTGACTCAGGAGGTCTCAGCTGGCCGGCTGGCTCGACCCCTCCTGGCAGCCTGGGACCCGTTGCCACATCCAGGGAAGAGATTCCAAAACTGGAGTGAATTTCTTGAAAGTAGGTGGGTGGTTAAAGCGATTGCCCCTGTTTCCCTGAGGAAGACCAATGTGCTGGCCTCCTATTAGACATCAGAGAATCCATGCTGCAGGTGGGCAAAGTGGGAAATCGGGTGTGATTTTTTTCAGCCTCCCGTGTTGTCTTGCAGTGCCTCCCTACCCGGGTGCTTAGGGCACAGCCTCTGCATTAACAGCCTCTTCCTTTCTTCCCCTCTGCCTCTCCGACACGGATCTGCCTGGATCCTCTCCCTGCCGCCGCCTGGGCTCCAGAGCGCACCCCAAGCCGGGTAAGTCACGCTGGCACACGTGGCTCTGGCTGGGCTGGTGGCCACAGCTGGCCTCGGTGTGTGGGCAAGTGGACAGGCTCTGCCTCCATGGGGCTCTGCCCGGCAGCCTGCCAGCCCCCGGGGTCACTTTGAGCATCTCCAGCACGCTCCAGGCGGGAGGCAGAGCTGGCTGCTGGCTCCTGGGAAAGGCTGCAGGTGCTGGGGGAGCCCGGCTGTGGGGAGGGCACCCAGGGCAGGGGTGGGCTTGGCTTTGGGGCAGCCCGGTGCTCAGAGCTGGGCTGGCACGGTGGGCTGGCGTAGGGGCTGCATCTTCTGCAGGTGCTGCAGCTGGCTCCCCTGGCGAGCATTCACAGCAGGATTTCCAGGAATGTTTTGTTTCCTGACCTTTTCAAAGCAAACAGCCCAGAGGGAGCCGAGCCGTCCTCTGTCTGGTGGCAGCCTGCGAGGCCACGCTCCAGCACAAGGGGAGGCAGCAGCAGGGATGGGTTTTGTTCGCTGGTGGGGCCAGGCTGGGGTTGTGGGGCTTCTTGGGGAGGGCAGGCAGCTCCGTGGGCAGAGCAGGTCCATGTTGTTCCCTTGTACACCCCAGCCCAGGCACCCTGCTCTTCTTCTGCTGTGGCTTCAGGTCTCCCATTCATTTCTCCCAATGTGTGGGCTCCTTTCCTTCCCTTCCCTCCCCAGCTTGGTGGATAAGGGCGAGGGACATCTCCCCCTGCCACCTCAGTCACCTTTCAAGGCTGCCTGTGTTTGCACACAAGGTGACTGGGGTGACAGGCTCCCAGGACCAGCCTCCCCCTGGGCACTGAGTTTGTAAGGGCTCAGCGCAGCGAGAAGGTAGGGGCAAGCCACAAAGCTGGGGGTCAGTAGGGAGATGGGCTTGGGGCAGGTCTGCCCTCTCCCGCAGGCAGCGCGGGGGTCCTCACGAGGCTGGGCCATGTCTCTGGATATGAGGAATTTTGGGGTCATCCCTGTTTCTCAGCGGAGCTGATTTCCCCAAGGGCTAGAATGAGCCTCCCTTCCAGGCCAGCTCGACGAAGGGGGGCCCTGACCCATGTCCAGCTGTGCATTCCCACCCTTGTTTTTCTGGGGCAGTGTTCAGCCCTTCCGCTGTCGCCCCAGCACCTCTGTCCTGGCTCCTGGGGCAGCCCGGTCCTTCTGGCGAAGAGCATTGCCTGTGCAAGCCCAGCTTCAGCCCCAGGGCTGTGAATGCACAGGCTCCAGACCGGCTTCGGTACCCGGGCTGGTGCATGGTGGAGGCAGCGCTGGAATGCAGCCGTGTCTCGGATGGAACAGAGCCGTGTGTGAGCTCCGTGGTGCTGCAGGCTGGAGGGTAAATCCAGCGGCAATGTGGAGGGTAGGAGCAGCCAAGTGGCAAATACGTGTGCATAGGGATGTAGAGGAGTCCAGGAGAATATAAGCCAAAGGGGCTCTGCTTATTGTAGCCCCCATTCCCTTTGCTTTGCTGGCTTGGATGGGCTGTGCCGTTGGGGTTTTGTAGCTGAAGGTTCTGAGCCACCTCGATTCAGAGTCTTTGCTGATGCAAGGATCTAAAGGTCGAGGGCTGCTCCTGAAATAACCAGCTCTGCAAAGGAGTTTCCAGTTTAGGGAAACAGGCTGAACAGGTCCCTTTACCTAAGCCCAGTGCTGCCAGACCCTCTGCAACCCTTGGCTGCACCCTCCCTTTTCAGACACCCCCCAGTGCGATGCCTTGCCCTGGTCTGTGAGTCCCTTCCCAGGCCCCGTGGCTGCAGAAAGCCAGAGCTCCAGCTCCTGGTACAGGCAGGGGAAGGAAGGGTTAACGAGTCCCTCCACTGGGGAGCAATTGGCATTGATCTTAGTAGGCTTGCAGTCGGGTGGGAGAGGAGGTGGGAGAGATGGTCCCTGTGTTGTACAGGATGGGTCACCCCTGTGATCCCCTATATACACGGCTACATCCCCCAGAGCTCACCAGGGGACAGGGAGCATCCCTTCTGCTCCATCCTTACCCCTTCTGCTCCATCCTTACCCCTTCTGCTCCATCCTTGCGTGTGTTGAGGCTCTTGATCCTGCTGTGCGGGGAACAATCGATCGCATGGAAGCCCTGGGACGGGGCATTTTCTCCCCGACCCCCAGCACGAACAGCTCTGCAGAACAGTCCTGGGGAAAGTCAGGGAGCTGTGCTCCAGAAGCTGCCCTGGCCCAAGCACCCCCGCTGCTTGGGGAGGGAGGGCAGCCTCTCCCATCACCCCTCAGCCTGGTGTTCCCCTGCTTTGCAGGAGAGCCAGGGGCTGCGGGTGGGCAGGCACCACTAGATCACGTTATCATCCTCTGGTGGGAGGGGGTTTGAGACGCCCCTGCAGCTTCTGGCAGTGTCCTGGGGAAGGGCTGTTTGTCCTGCTTGGCCCCATCCTGCTTCCCAGCCCACTGGCTCCTGCAGTGGCAGGGTTAAAGTGAAGTAAACACATCTCCGATGGGGATTTTCCACTCCGCCATGCCTTGTTATCTCCAAGGAGGCGGATCAGCTCTCCAGCCGTGCCCGGGATGCTGCCTCGCTCAGCTCCTGGCATCACACAGCCCTCAGTGCCGGTGGCTGGGCCAGGGCATGGCTGCGATGCCTTGTCCTTCCCCATCCCCATCACGCCTGCCGGCTGGGGCCGTGGCCCCCTGCCCCATCGCCCACCTCTCTGCGCTGGCAAGGAAGGGGAGCCTGTGACTTTGGGGGTTGGGGCAGGGCTTTGTTCTCTCCCTCTTCCTCCTGCTCGCCAGCCAGGGAGATGCTTTGCCAGGGTGGAGGCGGTGACAGACCAGCCAGGCTCTCCCTGGGGACAGGCTGGGGTGTGGGGCTGGCCAGGTCTGAGAGGTGAGGGGTGGGCAGGGGAAGGGGCGAGGGCAGCTCGCTCTGGAGTTGTTCTAGGGCCCAGCTGGGCAAGGGAGATGGTGGCACGCTGGGGCTGCGTGTGGGTGAGTCTCTGAGCGCCCTGAAGATGCATCTGCCTTCTGCCCGTGCCAGGAGTCTGCAGGCAGCCAACCCCCAGGGACGGGGTCCCCATCCCGCTTCCCTTCTCTCTGCCCTGTCAGAACTAAATGGATTAATTTGGGCTAGGACTCAGAGACCTGGAAACAGGTCTTACTTAAAGTGCCAGACTAAATCCCCATCTCTGCCCCCAGGTACAGCTGGATCTTAGAGGACTCTTGGCCAAGGGTGCGCAGGATGCCAGTAAGGGGATGCCACAGGTATCTGCGCAGAGGGGGAGAGCAGTGCCTCCCCTTTAGCCCTGACACCCGCTTGGTTGGGGAAGGGGACCCCTACCCCCAAACCGGCTGTGGCACAGGTTGCACAGATAGCTGGATGGGTGCTGGACACCGGCTGGGTGCAGCCAGCGGTGCTGGAGGTCTCTTCCAGAGTGGAAATGCAGCTGGCAGGACTCGGGAGGCCGTCCGCTCTCCCGGCGGCTCACGCACCTTCCTCTCCCTCTCTCTGGCTCAGAGCGCGTCCGCTTCCCCTCCCGAGAGCCTGCAGGATGAGGAGCGGATGGAGGAGGAGGAGCGGACAGGAGGCGCGGGGCTGAAGCGGAAGCGGGAGGAGAAGGACCTGCCTGGGCATTACGTGAGTGCACCAAAGAGCGTGGCAGCTGGGGGTGGACCCGGGCGCTGGAGGTGTCCGGGGAGCTCTGTGCCTGCCCTGCAAAAGAAACAAACAGAACGAGGAGCCCGGGGGAGCCCCTCAGCCAGAGGGTTGAGTCGTTGCCTGCAGAGCATGGTGTTGGTCCATGAGAAGTGATGCACCTGCCTGTAGTGGTGTGGGGCGGAGCCCAGAGCTTGGTCCAGCCTCTCCCACTCCTGACTGAGCCTTTCTGGGTTTCTTCCCCCTTGCAGGATAGTGATGGGGACAAGAGCGACTACAACCTTGTGGTGGATGAGGTAAGCCCACACCCTTAAGGGCATGCAGAAGCCTTGCAGGGTATCCAGCTCAAACGGTAGCCATGAGGTTTTGGACCCCGTTTCCCAAGCTTTGGGCTTTGTTAGGCTCCGGGTTGGTGCTGCCAGGCAGGAGCGGCCAGCCAGGACATGTGCCATCCCTGCCCCCGGGGGGTTCTGATCGCAGGGCCCTG